AAGGGTGTTGGTTTAAGCATTGGGGGTGAAGGGTTTAGGGTTGAGGTTCGAGGGAACATCTACGGCATTGGCGTCCCCTGTACTTGATTTTTTTCATATTGGAGTTTCGAAGGGTTCCTCCTATTTATGGAAACTCCGGAGTTACACATGCCCGAATTCGCGATATAAACCCCCTAAGGCCTAAGCACATGTACTTGGACCCCGAGGGATACGTGTGAATGGGAGATCTATGTGGACATGCCACCGCATCGCCACAAAAACAATTATCGAGCCGAACTTGCCCTAAACCCCTAGCTGAAAACCTTCTAAAGCCTAAACCGAATAAACACTAAATCCGTTTAAAACCTACAACACAACCAAAACTTAAACCTTATATGAGCCATTGTCTAAACTCCTAGTATCCCGCTTAGTAACCCCTATAATAGTCCCTATATTACCCCCTTCAAGGAGTTTAGACTATAGCTCATATGGTAGCTGTAACAATCTCCAAGTCCGGCGCTGTTCTCATCGTAGTTGCTCTCGTCGTCATCCCTGGATTCATCGGCTGAAGGTCTGGAGGCACGGGTAAGGGGTCTAGGGCCACGGCTGAGCTTTGACGTTTTAGTATCCCCACTAATCCTAGCACCAAAAAAGCTCGCCTTTTTGAATCTCGCTTATTTTTCCGAACTATAGGACTCCAAAAAGTGGGTTGGGGAAAAGGGCTTGCTAAAAAAACGGTGAGGGCTAAAACCCTAAACCCTAAACACTTAAAAGAAGAATAGCGTGTGCTTCTCCGAGATCCACCCACGGAATAAGATTGAAACAGGTTGAGGACACCGGGACCCGCCAAAGCACACGTCGTTCCTGGACCTTTCAACGACCCCTAGGGGTCCAAAGAGCCCAATGTAGGAAATACTTAATACTTAATTACAGACCTTACGGACCCAATGTAAGTATGATTTGTATGCGTTCATCCTTATGGGGTACAGTATATCTTCTATTAGCGTATAAGTGGCGAGGGCGGCCTCGGGACCCCCCCGCGATGCGCTGTACGGTCTGTTCCATACATAGGGGGACACCGGCATACATCTTCACATGCTTTTATCCTTTTTGTCGGAACATGTTCAAAAAAACGGCTTCAATCAACAGGAGCAGCCACCACAAGTAAGCATCCACGAATCGGACCTGCTATTGAGGGGCCCTATAGCCCCACTTAACGGGTACCAGGACAGTCTTGGTCGAGAAGCCTAAACTCTAAACCCTCAGCCCTAAACCCTAAACCCTAAGCCCTAAACCCTAAACCCCAAACCCTAAACCCTAAGCCCTAATCCCTAAACCCTAAACCCCAAGGTCGCGGCGCATCTGAGCCGCGCGGGCTCCGCGGACTTCGCCCACCGCGTGGGCTGCCGCCGCCCCGCGGGCTCCTCCCGCCCCGGGGGCTGCGGACACCACGAGGGCTCCTTCCGCCTCGGGGGCTTCGCCCGCTACGAGGCGAGGCCGGCCTTAGCCATAGTAGTAATAGTAATAATCATAACAACAGTAAAAAAATGTGATAATAATAAAATAATAACAATATAGTAATAACAACAATATTAACAATAATAATAAGAATAATGATAGCAATAATATTTATAAGAATAAGACCTACAATAATAATTATAATCAGGTTTTGCGTGTGAAGTGTACCCAGACCACCCAACTAACTGCAAATGCTTACCCATGATTTTCAGGTTAGGCTATTGGTATTATGCGTATATGGGAAGTTATGGAGGTCTGGCTAAGGCTTGGAGACATCTATGGTTGAAAGAGGTCATGGTCATGAGATCCATGATTAGCGCGGTCTCCCTGATGAATTCAGAAAAAAATTCTTTGCGCTGCCGCTGCGTGCTACCAAGGTGAGCATGCCAGTACTGTTTGATTCGCTTCCTTCTTGAAAGGGACACTGTGGCACGGCAGAAGTCAGAAAGGCTACCACGGGAATATACGGGAACCAAGAAGGGCTCGTAGTAGTTGCCCGCGTTCTGCCGGCAAGCAGCTCGGACCTTTGCACCTACGTTACATGCCAGCCAGTGAAAGCACATGCTTAACATGTTTAAGTTGTCCATACCATGCCTCAGAATTTAATTGCCAACCCAGCGCTGACAAACTCAAATCGTTCAAACTGCATCTTGGCGTGTTGTCACGCGCAGCCCGGCAAGCCCTTCCACAAACTAGGGGCCACAAGCTTGGGCGCAAGCATCGGAGCCTTAAATTCGTCGTGACGTGAAGCATCAGCACGACAGAAGCGGATTTTTACAAGAACAGAAATGCAAAGAACATGTCTGAGACAAAGGTTCGCGCATCTCGCCCAGAACAAGGACTCAAATTTGCTAAGCAGGTGAGGCCACGCCCCATGTAAGCGCGTGGATACAAAGAACATCACCATCTCAAAGTGACAGTTTGCCACCATTGCCATACCTAGATTATTACTATTATCATTGCTATTATTACTATTACTACTACCTTTCTCTATGTGTACTATTTCTATTCTTATCTAAACCCTAAACCCTAAACCCTAATCCGTACTAGTACTATTACTCTTCCACCTGGAGCCAGGAGCCAAGCGGTTTGTCATGACAGTGGGGGTTTGGTGACGTTCGGACGGACACTGCCTTCACCCTTTCATTAGGGGGTTATCCTTACATAAGGCCTACACAAGGATTATACAGGGGCACTAGGAATATATAAGGGCTGTGTAACTGTATAAAGCTTTTATGAGGGAAGCTACCCTCCTCAAACTTCCTTCGAATCAAGTTGCTGCACTGGCGGCACTATATGCTCATCAGCTGTTGGGCCATGTCGCGTATTCCCTGTAAGTACAACACTTTAACCCTAAACCCTCAGGAGCTGTACACCTTTTGCAGATCGGATGCTGGAGTCAGCGTTTGCTGCCAGGGTTCAGACTGTACCATGAAGCTAAGGAAGGCCCTATTGAATATCTGGGGTGCTCTGTGACGGGCCCTCCGGTCGTTTCTGGCTGCATCACTTTTCCTTTACAACCAAAATTGAATTTTGGGGTGTCCCAAAGTGATACCTCCAGAGTCAGCAATTTCGGGACGCCTAAACCCCAAATTCATCCAACTTCTAAACCCAAACCCTGAAGCCCACACCCCCTGAACCCCAAACCTCAACCCCCCAAACCTTCAAAAACCTAAACTCTGGCCTTTTTGCCAACAGGCTCCTTGCAATCTCGCAGCTTTGAGGTGCCGGCACAGTTGGAGTCGTTTTGGACTTTCCCAGACACCCAAAAGGATCTAAAAATTAGATCCCCTAGAACCATAGGGTAAAACATATAAGGATTATACAGGGGTTAACATGGGTCTATATAGGGGATCTAATTTTTAGATCCTCCCAGGGGTTTGGGCTAGGATGTTTACGCTTCAGGTTTGAAGGTTTTGCCATTTGCGTGGCCAGTACAGCAGGGCGAGGTTCAGTCCTAAACCGTTAAACCCAACCTAAACCGTAAACCTTAGGTTTTTCTGTTTAAGGTTTAGGGATCGCTTTGGGCATAAGGGGTTGCAAGGCCATGGGGGATTAGGGGAAATCGTGCTCTAGGGATATCTAACACTTACATAGCTTTAGATTCCTACCTGGACCCTCCAATTATCCTCTATTGGGGCCTAAGTACCCGCTATTTTTGGAGCCCTATAGCCCCATTTACAGGTGCCAGGAGGGTCCTGGTAGGTTTTACGGTTCATCGTCTACAACTGGTCCAGATGCACCACACTGCAGACTTTGAAGTTCCGACCTCCAAACGCAAGTCTGAACTTTGCAAGTCGGAGCTTAAGAAGGCGAGTGTCGCTCCCACATTGCATGCATTGCTTTGCTGACTTCTGGCTCACGAAAAGGCAACTGATGCTGCAATGTGCGCAGCTCAAGGAGTTATAACTTGAAGCCTGAAACTTTCTTCAAAGCTTCGAGGCAACGACGGCACTGCATACCGGCTGAAAAGCATTCTTTAGTTTCTGAAATGAAGCTTCGGGAACACAAAATATTGCACCTGAGGATGTGTATACAGCTTACATGCTTCAAGGTTTCCACCTGGACCCTCCAACAACCGTGTATTAGGGCCTAAGTACCCGCTATTTTTGGAGCCCTATAGCCTCAATTTAGGGTTCTTGGAGGGTCCTGATAAGTTTTAAGGATTATCGTCCGCCACTGGTCCAGATGCACCGCACCATAGACTATGAAGTTCCGCGCACCAAACGCAAGTCTGAACTTTGCAAGTCGGAACTTAAGAAGGCAAGTGTCGCTCCCACATTGCATGCATCGCTTTGCTTACTGTCTGGATCACGAAAAGGTATTCGAACGGTTGTCAACACGGGCAACTGATGCCGCAACGTGCGGAGCTCAAGGAGGTACCTGGACCCCAAGAGTATGTAAAACAATGGCCTTTATGGCTATTAGTATGGGTTTAACATACTTTTGGGGTCCAGGTATAACTTAAAGCCTGAAACTTTCTTCAAAGCTTCGAGGCAACAACGCACTTCATTCCAGCTGATAGGCGTTCTTCAGCTTCTGAAACAATCCGCCTTGGCTGGCATTTGTCAAGGTCGTTCTGGCATCACAAAGGCACGTGCAGGAGAAGCATGGATGGGCGTCAACGCTGAGCGTCCCTTTCAGTCGTTTGGCCCTCTTGGCGTACCCAAGGCCAAGCGTTATGCGGCCACAAGGTTTACATAGCTTGACGAATTCACAGGCACGTTTTGACATGAGACAATTCGGACCACAAGTTACAAGACACAATTCGTAATCCAAACCACGTACTGACTAATCGGGAATATTCATGGACTCAGGAACCTGGGGTGTCTGCGGACAGCTACTGCAAGCAGCCATAATGCACAGAAATTGCAGTCAATCAAATCATACAGAATACACGGAGCCCCAAGCGTGCTACTCCCTGAATACGGCGCTTGTGTCGGTGAGCGCCACCTCTGTGAAAATTGAAGGCTTCCTAAGTCTGCAACTAGCCCGCCACCATTCTACACGGTTGTCGCGGTCAAAACAAACATTAAGGTGGCTGACATGCATGCGGGACAAAGAAAGGTCGAGCTCAACATGTGGCAAAGAGGAAGTGCATGCGTGGACACAAAAACGTCAAGCTCAACATGTGGCAAAGAGGAAGTGCAACACAAACGAGAGGATGACTGAGGCAGCGGCCCGACAAGCTCTTTGCAGGTTGGTATGTCGCCTCGGCAACATTCAGCACCAGCCTGTCTACAGTTCAAATTGTAGCCGGCAGGCCTCAAAGCTCAGACTGTGCGATTTGGAGGATTCCACGCTGCCCGCGAAGCAGGTTGGGCTGAGTCGTCTAGGCGCCTGGCTTATGAGACCAATGCTCTGGGAGCAGCTCCACATCGCATCTTCAGTGTCTCCGGTTTCTTGCCACCTTGTGGTTGTCTTGCCGCATGCCCAAACACAAATCTCACTCTACAATACCAAAACCTAAACTAAGCGCGGGGCATCTTTTTTGTCCTGGCACCGCTGGCAAGCGGCGCGACTTGGCTGAAATCGACATCACCTCCAGGGCTCAAGCACAGCCGGTCAGCGTGTAAATCAGGGCAATGTTCCTAGAGTCCTCGATATGACCTTAGTAGAATCCCTATTCAAGCGCAATGTGATGCCTTGGTTTTCGATTTCGCGGATCTTCAGGGAGACACCGTTTTTGAACACCCGCGTCGCGTTGCTGAGTGTCCCCAGGACAATGGTGGTGCTCCTGAACAAGGCTATAGCATCATGCTACCAGCTAGCAGCATACACACGTTCATCATTGGCAGGCACACCTCTCGTCCAAGTCCGGGCGTATGAGAGTCTCCTTTGACAAATTGCAAAATGGCGCAAGGTCGAGGGCCGCTTGTTACGTGACAACGTGCTACTGAGATCTAAGCCGGGTGTAATGCACTCCAAACATGAAAGTGCTGCAACTGAAACCCAACAGAATGAACATGGTGGGCTCCTTCACCTTAATGTCGATCGGGGCCTGTCTAGTGCAACGCTGGGTGTTTGCTGTCACGGCGGGATGATGTAACTGCATGCGAACACCCGTGGCCTCCACTGTGCACAGGAACCGTGTTGCCATCGTGATGCCATGGGCCTTGCTTACACATTTAGGATTTGAAATGGGTAAACGTTGTGGCATAGTACACCAATACCTTGGACAATGCATAAAAAATGCAGTCTGATATGGCGCAGCCGGTTCACATGACACCTTATCGATGGCTTCCAATGCCCCATACAGTCCCAAACGCTATGTACAAGGCATTGAACTCCAAAATGCTGTGGCGTTCCGTTTGTCCATCTCAGGCTGTGACGCCCATTGCCAGCGCAGCTGCCAACTGCTTGCCCGTGCCTGTTCATTGCAAAGCTGAATGGAATCATGCCGAGACATGCGCATCATAATATCCTTTTTCGTCTGCATGTTAATTCGCGAGGGAACCAACATTGCGGGTTCGTTCCTCTTTGCATGCGGTTGGCAAGGAATGTCTGCTGGCTTTCATGTCCAGCCTGATGCTCCCGCCGCAATCACGGGCACTTTCAATATAGACGTGGCCTCGCGCATGGGATGCAAAGCTCTGTATGCGTCAACATTGTTTGCCCAACTCCTCCCCCTTGATGTTTGAAAACACCCAGTCGTAACCCGCCTTGGCCAACAAGACCCACGCTCCAACCTGAGGGCCGATAACGTTGAGTTTGTTGGCAAGCCATTGATGCTGGGCACCTCGTCGCCAGGTTGGCCACCCGCAATGGATCCTGTCTCATCGTGACAAACGAAAAAAACGAATGACGTGATCATTCCGCGGAAGCAACCGCCCTCCAAAATGAGCCGAATCCAGAAAAGGGGACTCTCCGGTTGTGTCTGGACACAATGCCTGAACCAAACAACGAATCACATCAGGGTGGTTGTGCCTTCATATCCAACAATCTCAATCAAGTCCACGCCAGCTTCCTGGGCCTGGCGCTCCCACAGATTTGATGCTTGCCGCTTGGTTCAGAAGATGTAGGACAGGAGTCTCGGCATGTAACTGTAAGGTTCAAAATTCAGGTAATTTTGTTGATGGGGTCCCTGATTTAGGGGCTTAGGGGCTGGCCAGCCTGAAGGTATACCCGTATATGCAATGAAAAGGGCAAAGAGGAACTCGCCAACCATCATACCCAGCGGAAACAACAAAGCCTGAGCGTTAGACCCTCCAATCGAATGATCAGCAAAATGAGGTTACAGAAGTCATACGAATTCAATGCACGGGAAGCTGGGCTGGGCGAAGGTTTTTCTCTCTGCGCACATACAATGGTGCCATCATCATGCGGGTTCAAAACACGCGGTCCGCCCAACGGTATACGCAGAAAATAATGTGGGAATCAACCGAGCGCGGGTAGCCGCAGCGCTCGTCTGCAAGCCAGTTGCTGCAGCCAACAAAATAGCCCAACGAACGGTGCAGGCAACCAGACCGGCGCGGCCCTAAGCCTGGCTGATGTCACCAGACCTTTTCGAGACAGGTAGTGGACGTTGGGCTAGATGAAAGTTATAGCACATGCGTATGCGGTGCGTGTGGCTTCTGACAGATGCGCCAGTTGTACCCCGCATCAGGTTTTCAAGGGCAAGTCATCGAGAAATTGACCAACATCACATTCACAAATTTCAATGTGGAGTTGCGACTCTTGCTTCGTACCGTGTTGGGTGCACCGCCTGCAGTGGATTGGGCATGCCATGACACCAGATTGTGCACGGTTAGAATCACCATGTGCGTGATTCAGGGAACCATTTCATCTGCGCAGCTGGTGTGTGACATGCTTTCCGCAGTATTGGAGGTTCGCCTCCGACGTCGCGCGTCTCCCTGCACCAGCCGGGCCAGACGTGCCTTGGAGCGGTATGGCACGGTGCCCTGGTGGTGCTCGCAATCGAGGATTTCCACAAACCTTGTGCGAAGAAATGTTTGCGCGGAGCTTCCGCGTCTTTCTGTGCGCGCAAGAAAGCCATTCACGAACACGAGTTGGAGACGATAGTGTCGTCCGAGGTCATCTTTGATCTATGTTGATCTAGCGTAGAAAAAGACCGCTGCTCACCTGGCTCTCGGCGCCGGCGGCCTCACCCGCGACCTGTGCCCGCACAGATCGACCATATTTTTTTTGCCTGCGTCATTGGGCAAGGCTGTCTTTTGCGTCGGCGGCTCCACCGCACCCTGGGTTCGGCAGCGCCTACCAGTGTCTGCGAGTACCGTGGGCTTACCCTGAAACGTCACAACCTTAAACTGCAAACACATGTGACCCACGGATTGTTTTTCAGGCAACGCATCTTTCAGCTGAGGCAACAGCTAAACAAGCGTTCTGACGTTGCACCTGTTGGACTGAAATCAAGAAACATCCGATTGAAGGGGCATGGTGCGTGCCAACGGTTCATTTTTTCTTGCTTCATTCCGCGTCGAGGGGCGTCGAGGGGCGTGGAGGGGCTCGTATGGGTGGGTGTGGGTGTGGGTGTGGGTGTGGGTGTGGGTGTGGGTGTGGGTGGGGGTGTGGGTGTGGGTGTG